TATCATTTATTCTTACAATACAAATTGACTTTGTCTCTATTGTCCCACTAGTGGGAATGTTACAAAAGGACTGAAGTCTGTTAGTAACCCCTTGAATTGAATGTATTAGAAAATAGTTTTGCTGTTTTATGGGAGTTTCATAAACAGAAATGCTCCCTGATACAACATGACTTAAACAAAGATATCCTGGCTGAGCCTTCCTATAAAGGCCATGTTTTATAGACATATCTTCAATACAAAAATAGTATGTGGGTTGCATTTTTTATATATCTTTTTCCCACATTTTATTTCATTGTACAAGGGAAAATATAACTAAAGAAAATAAGACTTAATTTCAATGACTTGTAAATAAATATTTACTAATTTGTGTTTTAAAACTATTATTCCTGAAGAGGCTAACCATAAATGGAAAACTTGCTTCTAGAATGCTCATTTGTGGAGGCTTAAAAACGTGGGTGAAACCTCTGTTATATGTTGTTAGACATGTTAGGTTTTCTAAAATGTAAGTCTTTAATCAAAAGAATAAGGAACAAAAATGTCAACATATTTAGAAAAGACCTCTTAAACATGGCAAGGAAAAAGTTGTCTCTGATAGCTTAAGCAAAATAGAGTAAACCTGGGAGGAAAAATAAAAATAATTTTATACAGCCTCCCACAAATCAAAAAAGATATTTTTTTTTTGCTAGGGTGAGAAATAGCAGATGTTTTCTAATTGAAAATAAATGAACAATGTAAAATAGCTGACAGTGTTTGTCAAAATAATTAGTCATTTGAAAATATTTGTGTAGCACACAGTAGGTTTTTAAAACTGACTGTGAATAAATATTTGAATGAATGACTTGGTGGTATATAAATCTGCATGTTACCCTTGGGTATCTTAGCTGGTAAAATAAATATGGACTAGAAGCTCAATTAATTTTCCCCCTTATATCAAAACTAAACATTGTATAGATTGAAAACAAAAATGTAAAAAAGTTGATGGCTTCAGGAGTCCTTGGAGAATAATGTGTAAATGGGAACTTGGCCCAACCACCCCTCCCCCATTTAATAAAAATTTTACTGTTCAATCTGTGAATCAGCATAGCCTGTAAACTGTAAGCGTCTCTTCCATGCCTTTGATTTTTGACAGCCATAATTGACATATATAAACTCTTTAAAGTTACTTCTGGCAATTTTCTCTGGGGTAAAGATTTTAGATAACAAGGCAGATGGCTAAGTGTACACATTAGGATATTTTGCTTTTTGCCTGGTTATTCTGGGTTTGTTATATTTTGTATTCTTTGGGGGTTGCCAGTACAACTAATACAATAATTAATAGGACATCACATTCTTCATTAGTTTATGCAGGATATGGTGTCATCCAAGTCTAAAATATATAGTGCATATAATGTCAGACATAAGTCATTTTTTTAAGTGTACTGGCTTTATTCTCACCACAGTAAAAAAAATCTACATATTTCATAGATATTAATTGAAATCTTTCAAAATATTTAATAGAAGTAAATCATTTGTCTCAAACTTGAATAGAAATGTTAACATTTAAGATCTTATATATTGAATTTTTTATCAATTTTTATTTAATGGTGGGAATAAATTATCACATTATTTTTCAACAATATCAGAGATGGATCTTAATATATATGGAGCTTCTAAAGGATATAATTTACCTCCCTATCATCAGTGTATGAGAGTACTCATTTCTCAGAGATGTTAGCAATGAGTTTAAAATTAGAACATGAGCATCTTTTTTCCTCTAGTGTTTTGATTTTTCTGTCTTCCATTTTGTCTAATGTTTTTGTGTGTTTAATAGTGGAAATTTTATATGTTTAAAGCACCTAGTAATAATATTACTTTAAAAGTATATTCCAAATGTTATTTAAACTTTTCATGGGATTTTAATGTTTTGTGTTGTTATTTATTTATGTTTCTAGCTTCAAATTTACATTAATCATGGTTGAGCTATTTGAAGTGACCTCTGAACAGCACCAAAAACATTAGTAATTCACCTGAGACCACATACCCATAGAAATTTCTCAGTAATCATTTTACCACTTGTGCTAGTTTTTTAAGGCACATCTTTGAAATTTGAGAGGTGTATTTTATCATAAATTCCAAGTTAATGTAATGACGCCCTGCACCTTTACTGTCCTTTTTCAGATGAAAATATGTGCCTTCTGGAAAATTCAGTTTATTTAAAATGTAATTCAATAATGTCAATTTTATTATTTTCTGAAAAATACATAATTATTATAGTTTGAATATCTGTATGTCAGAACTTTCTGAGTCCTTGAAACTAAACATATGAAAGAAAATTTGAAGCAGCATTTTTCTTCTAAAAATCAAAATTTATTATTTAATTTTTCCATTCGTTATAATTAAGTGTAATAGGCAGTAAAGGACCTTAATTTGCTTAGTACTGAATACATATATACGACTGAATATTACCGTCTATCATTGACTGAGAATTTTATCATACCTTCCTGCCCTGTTTTTAAAAGTTGTATTCTGAGGTGAAGGTGATTAGAGCATACAAAGTTATTATTACGGTAACATATTATGGCAGTATATCATATATGTAACTCATCAATGCTCTCAGTACCTGCTTTTTAATTAGTTGAGGTGTTTCACAATTGTTTTTTAATTTTACAATAATAATTTTACAGAAAATAAGTGCATGTATCTGCCATCTGTGTATGGAAGGAAAATATATATGTGTAAAGGCCTCTCTGTTTTATTCTTCATTGGCATAAATGCTTGAATGTTTCTATTTCATTCCAAAAAGTTAAGTATTTTGGCATTTGTACTCAGGATGCCTACATTAGCTAACCTAGATGACCTTTTATGTATCTCATCACCAGAGGGACTTGGACTTTAAACAGGGATAGTATTTTGCCCCATACAAATTACTATCTTCACTTTGTAATACAGCTGTACCAACAGGCTTTAGCAGTTATGCTGTTTCTTATTCTCCTACCAAAAAACATTGTTTTAATACTTATTTTTAATGCTCTTATTGCTATTTATGCCTCATCTGGCCACCAGATGCACACACAACTTCACTTCCTATGAAAGAGGTTGTTTAGGCATTTGGTATGTTGGCTATTATGTTTGTTCATATAACTACTCAGCATGGTTCACCCTTTAAAATATGGTGCTTTGTGACATTTGAATTTGAAATTTACAAGCATGCATTAATTATCTCTTTTGATCATCTCCACAACTCTGTGAGTTGGCAAAACTGATACCACGATCCACATATTTTTTCAGATGCTAAAACTGAGATCCAGAATGATGAAGTAATTATGAAAGAGACAACACTTAGGCAGTTGAGCTGAGATTAAGAACTCATGTTTTATGAGTCTTAGTCTAATGTTCTTTGGACTAAAATCATTCTTGAGAAAGCTTTGCAGCTACTTTCTCTCATTTCATAGTCATTTGACTTCAAGGCCGTAATAAAATGATAAAAGTTATTCTTTTTACTTAAGCTTGATTATACCTCTAGACACACTAACGCAATGCAGGTGTTTAACTAAATATGATAAAAGTAAATGAATGAATGAATGAAAATAAATAACTATCATCATCAGGTCATAGTGCATATGATCCTAATATCAACAGGTCATCAACTATCTATTTATTATGCACTTGCACTGTACTAAGTATTTAAAACACTGCATTATTTATCCTCTATAAAAATTGGTTAGATGTGATTATTCTTAATTTATAGATGATACCAGTATGTTCAAAGAGTTCAAGCAACTTGTCCAAGGGCATGCAATGAAGTGGTAAAGTCTGTATTTTAATTCACTTTTATCAGCTTCCCAGGTCATCCCTTTTACAACATTTATTTTTGTTAGTGTGATAAGTAATTATATGTATAAGGCACTGTTCTAAAAAAATTATCAGTATCACTAATTTAATACTTATAATACTCCTTTGACTGCAGTATTCCAAGTGCTTTTTATTGTATATAGGAAGTTTGGACTCCATTCCAGTTCATTACTTTTTTTTTTTTTTTGAGACGGAGTCTTGCTCTGTCTCCCAGGCTGGAGTGCAGTGGCGCCATCTCGGCTCACTGCAACCTCCACCCCCTGGGTTCCAATTTCTGCCTCAGCCTGCTGAGTAGCCTGGATCACAGGTGCCTGCCACCACACCTGGTTAATTTTTGGAATTTTTTTTTTTTTTTTTTTTTTTTTTGAGACGGAGTTTCACTCTTGTTACCCAGGCTGGAGTGCAATGGCGTGATCTCGGCTCACTGCAACCTCCGCCTCCTGGGTTCAGGCAATTCTCCTGCCTCAGCCTCCCGAGTAGCTGGGATTACAGGTGCGCGCCACCATGCCCAGCTAATTTTTTGTATTTTTAGTAGAGACGGGGTTTCACCATTTTGGTCAGGCTGGTCTCGAACTCAGGACCTCAGGATCCACCCACATTGGCCTCCCAAATTGCTAGATTAAAGGCATGAATCACCGCACCTGGCCCATTCAAAACTTTTAGTAAATCCCATGTTTGTTTTGCTCTCGGGCACATACAAAATGCAATATAAAAAACACAATACCAGCCCGGCCATCATGGCAAAGCCCTATCTCTACTGAAAGTACAAAAAATTAGCCAGGTGTGGTAGCCTATGCCTGTAATCCCACCTATTCAGGAAGCTGAAGCAGGAGAATTGTTTGAATCTGGCAGACGGAGGTTGCAGTCAGCCGAGATCGCATCACTGCACTCCAACCTGGGGAACATGGCGAGACTGGCTCAAAAATAAAAATTTTATTTTAAAAATTACAAGACCCTTTTCCTATGGACTTGTAAACATTGTACTTCTATTTTTAATATGCTATTGCTAATATTTAAAGTTTCAACATGATGTGAATAAATAACTGTCTTTACTTGTCTACTCACGTCTCTGTGATTCTAGTAGTTTGCCCATACTACCTAACTTCATAGTTTAACACTGGACATTCCACAATATTCTTTTATGTGAGTGACTTTTGTTTATGACTTACTGAAATAACTGTAGCTAATAAAATTATCCTCATGGAATTGCTTGAACCCAGGAGACGGGGGTTGCAGTGAGCGGAGACCACACCATTGCACTCCAGCCGGGGTGACAGAGTGAGACTGTTTCAAAAAAAAAAAATCCTCATGTTATGCTATAAATAGTCAAATATGATAGGTAAAATGTGCCCCTTTTATACTATCAACAACAGAATGTGATAAGCATAACAGACAAAACAGTGCCTATATTGTAAGAGGACATGAAGAAACTTTGAGTTTAAAGATCTCATTTGAGGTTTGTATGAATTCATTAGGTTTTAGTACAGTTGCATTGCTTTGTAAAATTTCTTCATTAAAATTGGAGTCATTCCATATACATATTAGAGTAAGCTTGTCTATGTTGGTAATAAATGTTGCTAGCATTCTGATAGGCATTGCTTTAAACCTATAGCTCAATTTGAGGAGAACTGACATATTTCCAGTTTTGGTACTTCCAATTCATAAACATAGTATTCTCCACTTATTTGGATATTCTATAATTTTTTTCATCTTCATTTTATAATATCTTTTTTTGAGACAGAGTCCTGCCCCGCCACCCAGGATGGAGTGCAGTGGCACAATCTCTGCATTTTGTAGTTTTCTACAAATAGATCCTATGCATGTGTCTGTATACTTTGGCATTCAATTTTCTTCAGAGTGAATCTAAATGGTCTTTTATTTTTTAATTCGTTTTCCATATTGTTAGTATATAAAAATGTGATTTTGTGTGTGTGTGAGAGAGAAGATACTGTATTGTGCAATTTTGCTGAACTCATTTATTAGTTGTAGGAAATTTTTGAGGATAATTCTTTAGGATATTCTATGTAGACCAGAAAATAGGAATAGCTTTAGTTCTTCCTATGCAATATGTATGACTTTTATTTGTTCTTCGTGCCTTATTTTAGTGACTTGAATTTCTAGCACTAACTTGAAAAGAGTGGAGAGAACAGACATCCTGGCCTTGTCCAAATCTTAAGGTGAAATGATTCAGTCTTTCACCATGAGTATGATGTTAGCTATAGGCTTTTTTAAAACGTGTTTTATGAAGTTGATGTAATTCTCCTTTATCAGTAACTTGTTAAAATTTTTTTAATGAACTGATGTTACCAGAGATTGAAAATTGAGAATGTGGAAGGAAAATGAAAGTGGGTGTGGTTATAAAGGGCAATGTAAGAAATTATTTTATTGGACAGTTTTAGTTTTTGACTACGGTGTTAGATGCAAAAACCTATACTGGTTATAAAATTTTGTGGAAATTAACACACACACATGCATGAGTACAGGTAAAATGTCATGAATACGGAAAAGATGGGTATATTGTGTCACTGTCAATGTTATGGTTGTGGTCTTACAGTTTTGTAAAATGTTACCTTTGGGAGGAAATGGGCAAAATGTACAAAGATATCTCTGTATTATTTCTTATAACTATCTGTAAATTTAGTTACCTCAATACAGCTTTCATTTTAAAAATAGGAGTTTTAAACTATTGTTTGATAGAACTTTGCTCTTTTGCAACAGAATTACCTAGGCAATTAATTTCAGATACAGACATTTTATATGTGTTTTGTTTAGATTCAGTTGCTTCATTAATTAAAAGCTAAAATTGGGCCGGGAAGGGCATGGTGGCTCGCACCTGTAATCCCAGCACTTTCGGAGGCCGAGGTGGGTGGATTGCTTGAGATCAGAAGTTCAAAACCAGCTTGACTGACATGGTGAAACCCTGTTTCTACTAAAAATACAAAAACTAGCTGGGTGTGGTGGTGGGCACCTATAATCCCAGCTACTGGGAGGCGGAGGTTGGAATGAGCCAAAATCACGCCATTGCATTCCAGCCTGGGCTACAGAGCGAGACTCCATCTTAAAAAAAAAAAAAAAAAAAGTTAAAATGTACAGAATGCATGGATTCAAATTATTTCAAACACATAAAATAGAGCCGTCAATTAAAATTTTGAGTATATTTATAATGTTTAAAATGATTAACCATTAAGCATAAATTGTATGTGGATAAGACAACCTTATCTGACAACTTAAGTAAAGTGCATTCATAGATGACAAAACCAGCTTAAGAATAAACTCATTAGCTACAAGAATATTTCATATGGATATGTATTTTGTAATTTTCTGCTATTTTTTATTTCTCCTTGAATATGTCTTATAGGTGACTGCAACAGAGTATGAGAATGAAGTTATTTCATTCTTTTTTGGTATTTCAATTGCAAAACACACATCAACCAGTTTATAAAACCAATTTCAATTTAGAAAGGAACCTCAAGCTACATCTCCACCCCTTTCTGGGAAAAAGTCAAGCATAATACCAATCTTCTCAAGAGAACACCTCCAAGCAAAACAATGCCATATTTAGGCACGCCCCTCAGATAAGGTACTCCCTAATGACCAATGCCTGGAGGAAACACTGAACTTTTTTTCTGGAGAAATAGAATTAACACTACTGCTGATTTTTTAGCTCTGCGTAGTTAATCTAGAGAAACTAAATAGCACAGTTCCCTCTAATGACTCAGTTGACAGGTGGTTTACTATGACTGACTTAATTTAAAGCTGATAGTTCATATTTCTTTACAAATCTTTAATCTAGTGATATGTGCAAATCAGATGGAATCTAGAATTTACTGAACGGTATCTTCCAATCACAACACTAATTATTGTGAATGTGAGGTATATAAAAATAAATCATTTCTAGAAAGTAAAAACAGAGAATAAAACAGTAAATTTAACTGATATGTGCTTCCTCTTTCATAGCTACATAGTGAAACAAGGGGCTAAAGTTTAATTGCTAACATTGAGTGAAAGGTGGACTTGTGTAGCTTGTATTACTTCATGATGAGAAAATATCTGGGGACACGAATTTGAAGCATCATGTTAATGTAGTACCCATGGAAATGGACTAGGAATGAAGAAAGAGAGAAGGAAGGAAAATGAATTTGGCCTTAGAAAAAGTCACACATAAAATTACATGCCTTTACTAATACATTTAAAAAGTTTCAAACAACTGTGAGTGATAGAAAATAATAATTTATATGTTAAGAAAATATGGCCAAACACAGTGGTTCATGCCTGTAAACACAGCCCTTTGGGAGGCCACGGTGGTATCACTTGAGCTCAGGAGTTGAAGATCAGTCTGGGAAACATTTGGAGACCCCCATCAAAAACAACAAAAAAAAGATTTTTAAGTTAAAAAAAAAATAGCTGGGCTTGGACACCTGTGATCCCAGCTACTAGAGAGGCTGAGGTGGGAAGATTGCTTAAACCTAGGAGATCAAATCTGAAGTGAGCCATGAGCATGCCACTGCATTCCAGTCGGGGCTACAGAGCAAGACAGAGTTTCAATAAATGAATGAATGAATGAATGAATAAATAAATGAATGAATGAATGAAAATAAAAGAAAGAAAGGAAAAGAGGAAAATATTAATATAGCTGTGTATAGATGTGGTCACATTGAATATTCTTGTAAAGAGAATTTCTACTTTTCAATAGGTGGTGCAAATATTTGGAGTCCTTTAGGTATCACTAATTTTATATTTTCATATAAAATAGGGAAAGAAATATACTATATATGAATCTAAAGCCACTTAACACATATAACATTTGACCTAATGACAATTCTCAAATGTAGAAAGAGAATGTCAATTAAAAAAAGTCAACTAAACACTGTTAAAAAAATTAGATTTGATTTATACAAAATGCATAATGCAATACATGTAAGCAAAGCAAGAGAAGATCTTGAAGTGAACAGTAAGGAAATTGTAGTCTGACACAAATGAAATTCATTTTGATCCTTTACTATCTAATTATGTGGTTATGAACAGTTGCTTGCTATTGATAGTAGAAAATTTGACAAACCACTCAGCAAGTCTAACTATTTCACTTTCAAATAATTTTTTTTGAGATAATGGATTTTTAAGTCAAAGAAATCATATGTGAAATATGAAATGAAAATACCATTCCTATAAAAAAATAAGAAAAAATAGGGAAGCAAAAATATTTGTTTGACTTCAAAGGAGACATATTCTTCAAAGTAATCACTATGTATTCTAGTGCTAACCATTATAGGTAAAAGTATAATTCCATTGGTCAGAGATTTGAACAAATTGAGCAATATTTGACTATTTTTGGTTTTGTTTATAATATTCCACATAGTATTGAAACATTTGAAATAAGTACACATTTAACATATTTTATGGATCTGGATATTGGTTTAAATAAGTGTAAAAATAACAATAAAATATATCACAATCATATAATAATAAAGTGTTTTGTAATTTTTGATTAATAATCTTCAGCTACCTAATTCCAATGTTAGAACATAATATGTCAAACTCATGGTTCATTTCTCAATATAAATATTGTTTTAAGAAATGATATTGACCATTTAATTACAACTGCTTCAGCAGAACAAAATCTCTCCAAATTCAACAAATCAAAATAATTTATCTAAATTGGCATTTCTGTCAACAGGACACAGAATACATGAGGATCTTGATTAAATAACGTAATTAGTAATTTTGCTGAAAGAAGGCAAAAATTTTATGAAATTCTATATAATAATGTAAGAACTATGTATGTCTTTATTTGATTACTCACCTAAAATTCATCACCCCAACCCATAATTAAATATCCACACATCCAATCGTCTCTGTGGTTTTACCAAATTTCATTATGAGAAAAGACATTGCTTTACACACGAGGTTATAATATAGTAATATTTATCTATTTAGGAAACTAAAACACATTCTCAAACAATTTGATTTGTAACTAGTGTGAAGCAATACTGAAATCCTAGGAAAGTAATTTATATATGGGAACCCCCTTAAAGTTAAATAAAGGTGGGAAAGTTATTTCTACTTCCTATGTGTACTTCCTTGTACACTATAACAGTCTTTTGTTTTCTTAACTATTCAAAAACATCTTGTATATATTCACAGTACTAATTCACTAGATTAGTCCACTATGGACTAGTGTGATTTTTCAGACCAAGAAGAGAACAGACTTCCATATCTCATTTGCATTTTTTGGCACAGGAAGGGAAAACATCCGAGGGAATTGAGCTTTTCTCACTTCTTATACAATTACACAAATTGCTTATTTCTATGGGCAGCAATTATATAAAAGAAGTGCCCAAGATTCATAATGCACTAGAAAAGGTAGTAATGTTCAGTAGGATTAAACTTATTAAACTTCTTGATTGCCACATAAGTTACCAAAGTTTACCTTTGATGATTTCCATAAGTAATTGAAACAATTAGATAATAGCATATTAAATTAAAGGATAGTATCAAAATAGGAATACTATAAATGTTAGTTGAATATAAGGAACTAGGTGGATATCTAAGAGATTATCAGGGCTTTTCTGAAACCTCTAAGACTGCAAAAATTATTGTCTGTAAGTTAAATCTCTATAGTGCAGAGATGTCAGATGACAGGCACAATTAGTGAGATGGTATTAGATGTATAGTCTTGACCTGATTTCTCCAACTGATTTATTTTTACAAGTTTCTTCATAATTTGGCAGAACCAGAAGCAATGCAACTTGGCCAAAAACAATGTTTACTTAACCAAAATAATATTGCTTATTGTGATTAATTATCCCATCAATGTTACTAACTTATTTGTGCAAGTTATCATTAAATTCCTTGATGTCTATATGTTCTGCAATCATGTTTCCTTATAGATTCTTAATATTTATACTTTGAGTCACTATTTTGTTTAGTTAGCCTTTCTTGTGGTTTATCAATGTTATTGAGTCACTATTTTGTTTAGTTAGCCTTTCTTGTGGTTTATCAATGTTATCGATGGTTTCAAGTTTTAACTTATTAATCATTTATCCTTTGTCTGTTTTCACTCATTAATTTTCAATGTTACCTTTATGATTTCCTTCATTGTAGTAACATTATATTTTATTTATGTTGCTTTTTCTAGTTTCTTAAGATGGATGTTTAGGTCACTGGTTTCCAATTTTTTTTCTCTCAATATTAGGATGTAGATTTATGAATTGCCTTAACATCTTTCTAAAGATTTTGCTATTTGTGTTTTTTCTTGTTATTCAGTTAAAAATATTTCTTTGGTCTTGTTATTTCCTAACTAAAAGATTATTTGGAAGTGTGTTAGTTAATTTTAAAGAATGTGGAGATTTTTCCAATATAATTTTCAATATAATTCATTCCAAATATGACCATTTTATTGTGATCAAAGACTCTTATTTGTGTGATTTGCTATAAATTGTTAACATCTGCTTATAGTATAGCATTTGGTTTATTTTTCATTATGCTTAGAATATTTCTTCAATTATTATTGAATATAGTAGCCATAGTGTCAATTATTTTCAACTTGTTTAAAATTTTCTTCAAATCTTCTATATCCTTACTATTTTCTTAATTACTTCTATCCAGTACTGAAAGAAACATGCTTTTAAAGGTTTCTATTGTAATTGTAGTTTTACCTATTTCTGCTTAAGTTCTATCAGTTTTTGCTTCATGTATTTTGAACATCTGGTAATAGTTGCATACACATTTAGGATTGTTGCATCTCTGATAAGTTGATGCTTTCACTTTTATAACATGTCCTTCTTTACTTCTGGTAATATTTCTTGCATTAAACTTTGATAACATATAACTTCATTAGCTACCATATGGTTAGATTTTGTCTGCTATATCTTGGTACCGACCTTTCACTTTTAATCTGAGTTTTTATGATGAAAATGCTCTGGGGGAATTTTTAGATACATTTTTGATATTTAATTTTAATTTATTTTTTTTAACCATACTCAGAATGACTTGCCTCTTTTAGATGTATCCAGAATTGTTTTATGTCCCTGTATATAGTCAACCATATGCATTCAACATAATTCTGAAATGACTGAAGATGTAGTTCCATAGATATTTATTAGGTTAATGTGGTTGACAGTTTTCCTCAATCATCTATGTGTTTGGTGACTTTTTCTACTTGTTCTATCATTTGATAACAAATAGGTTCATTATTTCTAACAATGATTTGTCGTATTCTCCATTTCACCCTTTAGTTCTGTTGATTTTTTTCATGTTATCAGTCACAGTGACATATATAATTACTATGTTTTCCTGATTAGTTATTTATTATCATCAAATTTTCTGGTTTCCTGCTGACAATCTTTTCTTAGTATAACAATCTTTTTCTTAGTATATATATTGACTGATATTAGCATAATCATCCTAGACTTGTTATGCTTACCCTAAACATAGTATGTCTTTTAAAAAATTTATTGTCAAATTATTGGTTGCTTTTTAGTTAATATGTGTTTAGGAATTGATTTTATTTTATCCATTTTTTCAATCTCTGCCTTTTAATTGTATTGTTTCTCCATAATTATTTAAAGTAATGGTCAAATAAAAGTACATCACTATATATTTTCTGTGTGTCTCTTTTAGTTTTCTTGTTTAAATTTTCCTAATATATTTTGGATTATAAAATTTGGCAATGATACTTTCACTTTTATATTGTGTTTTTAGTTATACATTTTGTATTATTTTGGGTTTGATTGACTCTAAGGATTAAGATACATATTCAAGAACCTTTTCAGTTACTTGGAAGTTATACTGTACAAATTCACATAAATGCAAAAAACTTGCAAATGTTCAGTTTATATGTTCTATTGCACTGTCTACTTAGATTATAAACTGTGCAAGTAAATGTTATGCTATTTTTTCTAGAAACTCTCATATGTATTTTAAATAGTCATTTACATTAGCTACATATTTAACACTTTTGATATTCTTCTCTCTTAAAAATCTGGGTTTTCAGTACGGATAAAAATCCTCAGGATAAAGAACATACTTTAGCATTGCTTACAGCACCAGTATGCTGGCAATGAATTACATTAGTTTTCTTTTATCTGAAACTTTTTTATACTGGATATAAAAATCTAGTTTGGCATTTTTGTTTCTTTTAGCAATATTTTCCTCTACTCTTCACTCTCGTTTAGCCTCCATATAGATTTAGATACGAAGTATACTGTATTTTTAATTATATGTGTATGCATATTTACATTCTGAACATTTATGTGTCTAGCTATATGTTTATATAAGTAATATGTAATTTTTTATTCTTTTTACTTTCAAAAATTTCTTTGTATCATTAATTCTTTAGTCATATAACTCTGATCTCCCCAGGCATAGTTTTATTCACATTTATTCTGCTTTGTCTTTCTATTGTTTCTAAAAAATACCATTCTGTTGTCTTCTGACTTGTATTGTTTCTGAGAAGTCAGCCATCATTATTATTGTTGTTCCTTAAAATTTGTCTTTTTCACCTCTGCCTGCTTCAAGAATTTATCTTTAACTTGAGTTTTGAGAAAGCTGACATGAGACATGACTGTATGTGGTTTTTCTCTGTATTTATCCATCATGGTTTTGTTCTTGATGCTACTGCTCTTTCTGTTGGTGCTGCTGTTGTTTTAACTTCTGGAATTATTAGCTGATGTTTTAAATCAAATTTGAAAAAATATGTTTATCATTTTTTTTCTAAATACTTTTTCTTTTCTTTTCTCCTCGGAGACTCAGTTATCATAACAATTTCTTACAGTACATTGATGCATCTC